TTCAAACACAATTCAGCAATAATGTTTTAAATAGGATATCATGTTTCTTGCTGTGAAAGATTTAATAGTGAGTAGCTGCAACCGCTTGCTACTAGTATGTGTTTTTACTAGTGGACAGTGCACGGACCAAAGCTACTTTAAATTCACTGAGAGAGGTGAGCTTCTTAGAACTGTGGGGATTTTAGCGTGTTGTTCGCATCTGACAGTCTGTGTACATCTGTGGGCAGAGTGCCTGAGGCTGAAACCTTTCTGCAGTGCATCTCTGGTCAAACCACAGCACCAGCTGCTACAGCCAGCCCCTTTTAGCAAGCTACTACCAAAATACATTTTACCAATGTCCAAAACCTTCATATTTGTTTAATGTTTTAATGATGTCTAAACAACTATTTTCTTGAATGACTGGTACAGATTAATAGTCGCACAGTCCCTTGTAGACAACTGCTTATGGTTGTGATCATGCAGCAGGGTCAGATTTTGCTGCTATGTGTGATCAGATTCACTGGTATAGCATGCTAACAACGTGAAATCTTACAGTGAAATTACTGCATTTGTATGCAAATGTGGCTCCAAGCAGATGTGACTGGATGTGATTTTTTGCTGCTTGTTGTTCAGACTAGGTACCTAATGGACACTTATATTAAAGGCAAGACACTACAAAGAGAAATGCTTGTATTATCTCTTACACTGCAATGATAAAAATATTAACACGTTAAAATAAAGAAGTACGTTCATTTTAGCATGTCTGGTCTCGTCTAACTGTTTTCTCTAAGGATTAGCAATTTTGAAGAGGGCTTAGCTCAGTCACACTCAGCTAAACCATGTTATATCACACACCACTGAAAAGCTTTATTGTTGACTCTACCTAGCATATCTGTAACTGCTCACTTCCTTCATTATGACGAAAGCATTTCCACAAACAACATGTGTTTTCTGAATATTAGTGGCTAATGCAGTGTTCTTTATCCGTATTCTATTTCCACTTGGCCACATAAATGACAGACATTTTTGTCTGGGAGGAGCTTATGTATGTGTCTTGAAGAAACATAAATTTACACTTGGTTCAATTCCATCTAAAATGCAGTTGATCCAAATGCTACTTACTTAATTATGTTAACTTAGTAAGAAACCTCCATAATTACCAAGAGTTAGGTTTTAGATCTAATAGTTCAACTAGTAAAAACATTTTTCAGATGACCACAATGGAAGTAAGACTATTGGCCTATCGACAAATGGCATTTAAACCCTATATTTAATTGAAAATAGTACAAAAACAACTATGAAATGTTGAAACTGAGAAATGTTATTGTTTGTTTTGAAAAATGTATGCCCATTTTGAATTTGATGGCAGCAACACATTCCAAAAAGATTGGGATGGGGGCTACAAAAGGCTGGTAAAGTTGTGTAATGCTAAAAAAAACACCTGGTGGTTAATTGGCAAGAGGTCAGTAACATGATTGGGTATAAAAAGAGCAGAGGGGCTGAGCCTTTCAGAAGTAAAGATGGGAAGAGGGTTCACCATTCTGTGAAAGACTGCACAATCAATAGTGCGACAATACAAGAATAATGTTTCTCAACGTAAAATAGCAAAGAACTTTTGCTTTTCATAATCTACAGTACATAATAACATTAAAAGATTCAGAGAATCTGGAGAAATCTCTGTATGCAAGGGACAAGGCCAAAAAACAGTATTTGCTGGCAATGATCTTTGGGCCCTCAGATGGCACAGCATTAAAAACAGATATGATTCTGTAGTGGAAATCACTATGGGCTCAGAAACACTTCTGAAAAACATTATCTGTGAACATTGTTGCTGCATTCACAAATGCAAGTTAAAACTCTAAAACACAAAGAAGAAACCATACATAAACAGGATTCAGAAACGCTGCCACCTTCTCTGGGACTGAGCTCATTTAAAATTGACTGAGGTGAGCTGCCATCAATCAAGATGACGTCTTTTTCAGGGAAGGCCTCGATTATTTCAGCAAGACAATGTAAAACCACATTCTGCCCATATTACAACAGCATTGCTCTGTATTAAAAGAGTCTGGGTGATAAACTGGCCTGCCTGCAGTCCAGATCTGTCACCCACTGATAACATTTGGTGCATTATGAAATAAAAAATATGACACAGGAGACCCCGAACTGTTGAGCAGCTGAAAACCTATATAAAACAAGAATGGGAAAACATATCACTTTCAAAACTACAGCAGCTGGTCTCCTCAGTTCCAAAATGCTTATAGAGTGTTGTTAAAAGAAGAGGCGATGAAAAACAGTGGTGAACATGCCCCTGTCCCAGCTTTTTAGAAGTGTGTTGCTGGCATCAAATTCAAAATGGCCATATATTTTTCAAAAAACAATAAAAATTCTCAGTTTCAGCATTTGATTTGTTGTCTTTATGCTATTTTCAATGAAATATAGCATTTAAATGATTTGCACATCATTGCATTTTGGTTTTATTTGCATTTTGCCCAGCACCCACCTTTAGAAATGGGGTTGTATATTATATTATATTATATTATATTATATTATATTATATTATATTATGTATGACTGTCAAAAAAATTTAACTGTGTATCTCAAACCTCCTCTCGAAGTAGTATTAGTGACTTGATAGTAATGAGTCTTGTTTGCATTCACTCTCAGCCTGATTGATAACTACCTCATAAGTCCAAGATGCACAAAGTATAAACAGACTCATTGTGGAATCTGTTGTTTAAATGATTAACTAGAGTTGCACTGACATGGAATTTCTGGGCCAAAATAATAAAGAATTCTTAATATCTTATTGTGACCAATACTGATATAAACCAGATACTTTAATTAATTAATTTTAAATAGTTTGCATTCATTTAAATAGATATTCTACATTTGATGGTTTTACCATTTACCATAGCAAGTGCATGTAACAATGCTAAAGTGCTCTCAAACTAGCCCTCAGGACCCACCCAGCTAGTATATATATATATATATATATATATATATATATATATATATATACATATTACACTGGGTATTTAGTGTTCTTAATGCTTCAGGTTTAGGCAAAAAAAATCAGCGTCTCGTGTGTCCTTACTCTTGCGTTGGTCTCGTGATCTCGAATGAGAACATCTCTGTACAGCCATGAGAAATTTAGGGATAAATATGGGTGGGAACGTTGACTTCTTAAGGAGGGAACAAACTGAGTGTGAAATTTCTAAACCAGTCCAGCTATTGATGTAAAATAAGTTATCACGGCAGAAAATCTCCAATTAAGCACGAGGATGTGTGTCACATGTGCAACAAACTACATGCAGTAAAAAACTAACACTAAAACTAATACTAAAATACTAATACTAAAACTTAGCTAACAATATCATATTGCTAATTAGCTTGTTTTGCTTATGTTATTGATTGTATTCCAGATGTTAGGAATTTAATGGCGGGTTTAGAGGACAAATGGCAACAGCAAGATAGCTAGCTAGCTTTTAATAAGAAAATTAGGTGAGTTTAGTTTGCCAGAATGTACCTAGTTCACGCACACTGAGTGCTAAAAGTGTAATTATCATCAGTAATTCCAGTATTGGACCAATAATAATAATTTTTCCATTTATTGACTAGTAATACATATATGTAGGCTGAGTAGACATCATTATGTTGTTTGATTCTTTTTATTGTCTTCATTTTTATCTTATTCAGTTGTTTCATTTGATTTTTATGAATACATTTTTTTGTTTGTTCTGATGATCATTTTTTGTTTTAAACTGCCTAAAGCTCCATACTGTTTTAATCGTATCCTTATGCTCTACCTCAGTTTCTTTGTTAGACTCATATTATACAGAATTATATTTACATTTAATTTTATATTTAATTATATTTATATTTTTAATCCCCTATTTTGTATAATGCTCAGCTACACTGGAAATGAGGGTCACCCTCAATGTACGCTAGATTTAAAAAAAGTCTGACTGATTGACTGATTCATTGATTGAGTGATCATGCACCCATAATAAAACTCTACTGGTTTGAAGTGTCTTGCTTTAAAAAAAAAACAATTTTCTCGAATGACTCCTCCCTCTAGCATGAAGCCAAATGCACTCCTGCTTTAGGGTCTTGTGAGCCTGCATGACCACTGTTCTGCCACCAGTGCTGTGATTTCCATAAGCTACATGGCAGTGTATGTTTGTGCCTGATTCTCTGTGTGATTCCCTAATGCAATCACAGTCCATTTGGTCCAATTTCATTATGGTGAGGCAGACAGGAAGTTTTAAGAGAGCGATTCCAGTCTCTGGTCTGGTTTCCCCATTTTTGGGATTTAACAGGCCACTGCTGCTGTTACAGCGGTAATTGCTGAACAGAACCAACAACAACCAAGGCCATACGTCTTTATAATGCGCGCTAACACAGGAAAAGGCAATCAGCGACCAGCAAAATTAACTCTTAATAAAAAACAAAAAAGCAGCTTATGTGTCATTACAATGGCTGAATGCACATTCAAATGAGGTACTATATTAGCATGTCTCATTTCTTTCTAATGAGGCTTAGCATAAATAGAGGCACAATAAACACACCTGACACATACAGTGTTGTCTGCATGCAAATAAATAAACACACTCGTTTACAACAGTTGGGGCATCCCTGGTCAAATTACATGTTGATCCTCCACACAACTATGTTTTTTTTGCTAAATGTAACATATTGGGGGCACATTTTACACTGTACATTTTATGTTCATCCTAATGTTAAATTCAATAAATAAACAGAAATTGTGCACTAAAATTTGCACGAATATGCCATATTTAAGTTTGTTGAAGTGCTGACTTATTTTCACATAGAACATCAACCGGGGTGTGTCACTGGGAGTGTTCAAACTTTTGAATGCAGCTTCTTTGTATGCAGAGCTGTACCAACCCAGTGAGCAAAAGAAAAAACTTGCTGCAAAAGTATATGCTGGTCTCACACTTTTAGTGCTAAGTGAATTGCTTAAAAAACATGTTTGCCTATGTCATTTCAGCACTTTTTTATTGTGTACTGCTGTGTGTACCATGCACTGTGTGCACCAGTGAGAAGACTTTTCATTGTGCTGCACATGACAAAGTTGAATTGAATGGAGAATATTTTGCTACAAATTCTGTTTTTCCTATTGAAAAGCATGTTCTGAACTCACATTATTCCATTACTCACATTTAAATACATTTAACCTGCTCCAGAGCCTACGGCTAATAACGTTATAAACCTTTAATTGTAATGACATTATCATTAATGCTGATCAGTCCTGCAGCTACATTCTTAGGTTCAGATGGACCAGAAAAAAAACACATTGTGACTGACCTCTGATATACCAGGTCTAGACTTCCTCTTACGTTTTTTGCTGTCCATGGTTGCTGCTATGCTAACAATCTAAAGAAAAGTGTAGCCCCAGAGACATGCTGAAAGAGTTATATATAGGAAAAACAATCTAATTTTCACAATTTCCCCTTCATCCCAAATGTAGAAGACATGTTTGTTGTCTAAAGTTTGCTTCCTTAGTTTAGCCTTGAATATAAAAAAGTTATGATAATGTTGCTAGCATGTGATGCAAGTTTACTACAATAAGCATGGTGCAAACATGCTTAAATCCTCACACACCCCTAAATAGATTTGCTATTAGAAGTAGCTTCTCTGACTTAAGTACATGATATGCTGCCAGAACAAAATTTTGAAAACTGCTACTGTGGTTTTTAGCTATACCCTGCATTTTTTGTCAGTTTTTACAGATCAAATAGCAAACATGTCTTGCAGATTGACTACATTTAGGGCTATTCTGGGGCCATTTGGGAAATTTTTTTTCACCCCCAAACTACTCCTTTAACTCCAAAGAAGCTGAAAGACTGAGAGAAATGTTTGAGGCATAATGTCAACAGCATCACATTAGCAGGCTCAAGCGCAGAGTTTATAGTATAAGGATCAGCCCCGGTATTATTCAGCTTTAATTTCCAGGCTTTGTGGACAGTCCTATTCCTCCAGTCTGCTCCAAAACCCTGAAACACATCAGACATTAGTGCAGTTAGTGGAGGGAGGGGTTTCGGCTTTACTGCGGACCTCCTTGATGTCATTTAGCGGCGACTCACTGGAGATTTGGCACTTGAACACCTGCTTGTAGGCCTTTCTGAAGTTTTCGGAGAGGAAGGCATAGATGATGGGGTTGACGGAGGAGTTGCTGTAGGCGAGGCAGTGGGCAACCACCCGAAAAATGAAGGAGGCCTGGTTCAGGGGGAAGGAGCCAAACTCCACCCACAGGTGCACCACATGGTGAGGAAGCCAGGAGAGACAGAAAACCACCACTACCACTAACACCGTCTGCGCCGTCTGTGGAGAAATGTGATAGGACAGTTACAGACCAGTTTAACTTTATTGGTCAGTGCATAATTCTTTATGTGTTACTTAATAGTTCTCATGTTCACTATTGTTTTAAAATAATATATGGAAAAAATAGAAACAATTTGGAAACTAGTAAAAATAATGGTGAAAATATAGTAGATGTGTGCCAACTTCTGACAGGTACTGTATCAAACCTCTCCATGTCTAACATACTGAAACACCCTTTTAAGGCTTTTAGACTAGATGTAATCAGTCCATGTTCTCTTTGGAGCATGACTATTTCTCAGTTTTTTTTAAGTGAGAATGCAGTTTTTTTTTACCTTGTCAGAATAGAGATATTGCATTGGTAAGCTCCAGTTTGGCAGTGTGGACCATTTCCTTCCCATCAAACTGATCGGTTAGTTTTTCGAAAAAGCTGAGAGCTATGTTTTTTGCATATAGATCAGGTTGCATACACTTTTCATACACTTTCGTTCACTGTTGGTGATGTATAGAGTGATGGTTTTGACTCATCTTTGAATCTTTTGACTCATTGTTTAGATTGTTTATGGACCAATATCCATGCATAGGAATGTTTATTGGAGTTGGTTTTGGACTGATATATCCATATCCTATAGACTATACATCCACTGATATACAGTCTATAGGAGAATTTATTGAGGTTGACTATGAACTAATATCTCTTATTCTAGTGTACAGGAGTGTTTATTAGGGTTGTTTATGGATTAACATCTCCTTTCCTAGTCTATAGGAGAAAGTATTGAGGTTGTCTATGAACTAAATACCATTTACTATAGTACATATGAGAATATATTGCATTATTTGCATTTATGAACTAATTTCTCATGTTCTAGTGTATAGGAGTGTTTTCTGAGGTTGTTTATGAACTAATATCTTTTTATCATGTATATAGGAGAATTATGAACCAATATATTTTATTCTAATATATAGGACAATTTACTCAGACTGTTATGGATAATATCTCCTGTTCTAGTGTATATGAGTGTTTATTGAGGTTGTTTATGGACTAATATCTTCTATTATTGCATATAGGAGTGTTTATTGAGGTTGTTTATAGACTAACATCTCCTATTCTACAATATGTGAGTGTTTATTGAAGTAGTTTAAGGACTAATATTTCATATTCTAGGGTATGGAAGAAAATTATTGCTGTTGTGTTTTGGACTAATGTTTCCTAGTCTAGAGTATAGGACGTTGTTTATGGAGTAATATCTAATATTTTTGTGTATATGAGAGTTTATTGTGGTTTTATAGACTAGTGTATCATATTATATAGTTTACCAAGGTCAGTTATGGTCTAATATCTCCCATAAGGTTAAAAGCTGCTACATGATAGAGAATTCTGCACTCACTGTCCTGCTCCCTCTGTACCCCTCACCCAAGCTGGGTGGGCTGATTTAGGGTTGTGTTAAATAATTATCTACAGTGCTCAGTGTGTGTGTGTGATATGTATTAATAGGTTAGTGGAGCTGTGAGTAGACCAGAAATATGCACCTGCTATTCTGTTGTGGGGTAAAGATGAACAGTTGCCCTGACTGACATACATATACACATACACTCGGCCATACACATGTTCTTCCGAGATACGTATATGGGAGGTAATTACTCACTGAAAAATAAAAAGAGAACATTGCTAATTGTATAAAGGCTTCACTTTCAGGCATTAGGAAAGCAAAATGGAGAATTTTTAGTCATTCCATGAAAAAAAATGGCATTTGAGCCCACAGGATTGGTGGAATGTATACAATTTTTGTGTGGGAAACTTTGATATAAAGGTTCTCCTGAAGGAGAAAAAGAGGGCCTTTTAAATCAGGTGACAAGGAGGAACTGAGGGCTGTGCAGAGGAAACTGAGAAGGAAAAGGAGGAAAAAGCCAGCTACAGAAAGATTGAGGAACAGCTGCAGAATAACAACATCAGTGGGGTTTGGAAAAGCCTAAAAATAATCTCTAAGCACAAGAAACCATACCCCCAGGCTGTAGGAGACCAAAAGTGGGTGAACGATCTCAATCTGTTTTTCAATAGATTTGATCACTTACCACCGCTACACAGCTACCCCTGCTGCAGCCCCCCTCTTCTGGACCCTCAGGGCACTGCCCTGCCCCCTCTCCCACAATTACTTCCCTCTTCACAACTGTCACTTCACAGCCACGCACCACTGGTCTCTCTGCTGTCAGCTCAACCCCCCTACTCGCACGCTCCAGCACCCTGCCCCCCTGCTCCAATCTGTGCCTTACAACAGCCCAGGTAAGAAAGGAGCTCAGAAAGATCAAAGTGAGGAAAGCTGCGGGTCCGGATGGCATCAGCGCCAGGCTCCTGCGCAGATCAGCTGTGTGGGATATAAGCCTGAAGCTTGGGAGGGTACCACAGCTGTGGAAAACATCCACTGGTGGTACCAGTGCCAAAGACGCAGCAACCAAAGGACCTCAGCTACAGGCCGGTGGCACTGATGTTGCACCTGATGAAGACACTAGAGAGGCTGGTCCTTGTGCATCTCCACCCTCTGGTGAGCTCATTTATGGACCCACTCCAGTTTGCCTATCAATCTGGCATTGGAGTGGATGACGCGGTCATCTACCTCCTACACAGAGCTCTTTCTCACCTGGAGAAGCCTGGAAGCACTGTGCGAATCATGTTCTTTGATTTCTCTAGTGCTTTTAACACCATACAGCCTAGGCTCCTGAGGGAAAAGTGGGAGATAACAGGGGTGGATCACCACCTATCAAACTGGATTCTGGACTGTCTCACCAACTGACCACAGTATGTGAGGGCATAGGACTGTGGAATGGTCTTGGCACCATTTCAGTACACTGCAGACTTCATGTACAGATCACCAAACTGCCTTCTACAGAAGTTCTCTGATGACTCAGCAATCGTTACAGATGAGGACGAGAGAGAGTACAAAGAACTGACCCAGGACTTGTGGACTGATGTCTGAGGAACCACCTCCTGATCAATGCAGGGAAGACCAAAGAGATGGTGTTGAATTTTCACAGACACAGTCACCTCCCTCCACCAGTGAACAGTCAGGGAGAGTGGACTCTTATAAGTACCTGGGATTTCACCTCAACACTGGGTCTGGTCAGATAACACTAGTGCACATTATAGGAAAAGCCAGAGCAGACTTTACTTGCTCAGGAGACTGAGGTTATTTGGAGTGCAGGGGGCACTCCTGAGGACCTTCTTTGACACCGTTGTGGCATCAGCCACCTTTTATGGAGTGGTCTGCTGGGGTAGCAAGATCTCAACGGTGGACAGAAGGAGACTTGACAGACTCATTAAGAGGGCCAGTTCTGTCCTGGGAAGCCCCCTAAACCCAGTGCAGGAGGTGGGAGACAGGAGGGTGTTAGCCAGACTAGCATCCATGCTGGAGAACAGCTCTCACCCCATGCATGAGACTCGGGCAGCACTGGGCAGCTCCTTCTCTCATTAGACCTCACACACCTACAAAATATAAACTGTGGAATTCATCACCATTTTCTGTGTGCAACATTATAAATACTCCATGTGCAATATTTTTAAAATATCTCTATAGTGTAAAGATTTTTGCTTTTCTGTTTATAATGTTTATATTGTTAACTCCTCACCATTCCTTAGGGTAATATAAATCAGTACCTCATGTGCAATACTCTATGTGAAATTTGGGTAAAATATCCTTACAGTGTAAATATCTTAGTTTCTACTTATTTATAATCTTTTATATTGCTATTTTTGTGAAGGATAGAGTTTATATTTTTATCTTATTTTTTACTTTTTGTATTATATATATTGTCTATAAAGTAACAAGTAACAAACTGTAAAAACCTTGTTAAGTAATTAACAAGGTTGATTGCTTGCTTGTTAATGCCTTGCAGGCCTTGCTCTCCCTTTGCTGCTGAAACACTGAGAATTTGTCTATAAATTTTGTTTTTATCCAACACAGATGATTTCTTGTTTTTTCCATCCTTGACAGGGTCCAACAAGCATAAGAGGTCCTCCCGGTCACCAAGAAGACAGTGGAAACAGTTTTTATTTAGAAATTAGAAATATTTACAGAAAGGTCATGTTGTTCACTGTTGAAAAACTAATGTTTGAAGGTCTATCCTTGATTAGACAACATGGCAGCCAAATTTGCATTAAAATATTCCACCTCATCACAATTTCACATTCAGCATGGTGAGTGTAATTCTTAGTGGCACAAAATAAAAAATATTCCCACAGAGTAATATGTAATTGAAACTATATCAAAAAAAAAAAACACACTGTGACTTGTAGGCATAAAAAAATGGCATTAATCTTGTGGAATGACTTTTTCATGTTGTTTTAGCAGCGGCATCCTGCTGCAAAAAAAGTATAAAAAGTGTCCATTTATATTTCAAATTAGCTATTAGCTAGCAAGTGATGGAAGATATGGAATGGAATATATATTAAGTCCTCATTTTGGCCCCACCACCAGGCAGCTATTTCCAGTTGTGATGGGTGTGCTCCAGTATCCGCCATTCTATTTGGTTTCCACTCCATTTATAAATGGTACATGATCTGACATACACTGCATTATGATCATGTGATAACACATGCCAGCATGGGAAATCATGGCAAATCTTGACAAAGAATCATTTCAAATAAAATTGAAATGTTGTTTCTGAATCCACAAGTGACCATTCATCCTGAGGAGCTACAATAGTTTCTAGTGACATTTTTATTTTATCTGTATATAGCCTATGCAACAATTTACATAAGAGCCATTGAGTGCCTTTGACACTCCATTTAAACCGCTGTCACTACGTAAATGGAGCACACCTAGCCTCACCTACCTGAATGAGGAGAAACCTACAAACCCCCATATACCCACAATAATAACTAAGTTAACGTTTCAAAAATATAATTGCTCTTTATATTGAAGGAGGGGGGATTTCCTTTAATACAGCTGCCATGTTGAGTGTTACCCCACCAATTAGCATGGTATAAATATGCATCACACACTTGCCTA